TACAAATTTCATTCCATATATTCAAATATCTCACATACACATACATATATACATACATATACACATATATACATATACATATATACATACATATATATATATACATATATATATATATATATATATATACAAGGGGCTATTTCAGAACTGTTTTAGAGGTTTATGTTGTAGCTCTATTTTTAGCTGGAAACAACAACTGCATTAGTTTCAAAAACATTCAGATTGTTAAGAGATTATAAAATCTATTACACACACTACTACATCCACACACACACAGACACTTAAAAAAACACAAAAAACAACATGAATAATTAAAAACTTACTATGTGTTTGAGAATCACTGAATTCAGCTACTGTAACCAACAGCAAAAGAACATTCAGCACTGAAAAGGTTAAGAATGAGACTTTTAATATTTAATATTTTTGTCAGTGTTTTTGATGACACTTTTTAACACAACCAGCTAATAAAGCACAAGTACCCTGTATTTACTTGCATTTTGCAGGAATCTACTGGCAGAAGATCTAAGATGGAGAAATATAGTTGTTGGGTTTTTTTTTCCAGGATTTTACCATGAAATCACCCAGTATTAAAATTACCTAATTAAATTTTATGTTATTATTGAAATATTTCATACTTCATATTTCATGAAATTACAGGCTACTTGTGCCTTAGTCATGCATGCTACATTGTAATTGTTTAATTGTTTCGGGGGTCTTGCAGGTGACTCACATTTTAGAAAGTACACAGTACTTACAATCTACTTGTTTGATCGTTGACTTCAAAAACATGAGTTGTACTTACAGTGTACTTTGTTCATTGCTTCTTGCAAAAACCTGACTTGTTGCTTGCAAACTGCATGTAAGTACGGTGTATTTGTGCCTTGTTGTCTGCAAAATCATGTTAGAATAGGCTACTTGCACCTTATTTATGGTTCATATTATAATATTAATAATAATATTATATATTTTTTGGGGTTTTTTTTTGCATCATTAATAATAAGTCCTATGCATTTATTAGTGAGCTGTTACAAACAGCTGTTACAAACAGCTCACCATAAAAATACATGCAAATATATGGCTGTAATTTGCCCTTCAGTCTATCCATGTATTTTTTTTAAGATAATGTCAGTACTCACAAATTCTGATGGTGGGAAATCTGACCTCCATGCTGTCTTGCTGCTGACTGCATGAGCATCAGACTAAATTGAGGATATATTATTTTGTACGAACTTCCTCTTCCTGTGCTTCTGTGGTGACTGAGGCCCAACAGGGTTCCATTTCAAAGACATGTGATTGCATGAAAATGTCCCTACAGCCTACTATTTGTTTTATGCCCTTTTATTTATTGAATTTTGTGTTTTCTCAATTTTAGACATCTGGTGAAAATTTAAAAAATAAAGTAATTGCTCAGTCATAGAAACCCACAGTGCACCGTGTTTTATTGTTTTTGTTTTTGCTGATGGCTGATGGTAATGCCATAGTTTAAGATTTCTGCAGTTACTGAGTCAGCAGAGTTTGGGTAATAGAGAGAACTTTAAAGCACTATGGCTCTAACCACTTGGCGACCCCTGCTTTGTAACTTTTTTTCTTCCACTTTGTGGCTGAGTTACTGTGATTCCTAAAAGCCATTTTGAAATAACACAACATATGACTGTGGAATTTTCCCAGGAGCGAAAGACAAACGGTCTTGTTCCTATTGCAGTACAACCCTTTAATTCAGTGACCAGGTTTGTAGAAGCATAGGTGCTTGATTTAATGAGACTAAGAACAAATCATTGCCTTTTGACCTAAAGATAAAGGTGGTTTTGGCCTTCTGGACTTCATGGACCTGAACTGTACATTTAAGGAGAAAATGTACAGCTAAAGCTATAAGCTAAAAGAATGCTTAAAATCTCCTGAATCATTATGGCATTTTAATCCACACAACATTTTTAGGAAAGATTCAGATTAAGTGGTGTGGCATAATATTTTTTCCATACAGTTCATGTTGTCCCAGGTATCCCATTATATATTTTTAAGCTTCATTACAATTCATGAATAAATTATTACAAAATGGCTTTTTTTCTCCTCATGGCTCATTTGTACTGTACATATCTATTCTATGCTATACATTAAAACAGAGATGCAGTTTGGTCAAGAGGGAAACAAAATTTTATGCCAAATATTATGAATTATGCATGTTGACTGTGCTTCTTATATGCATCCCTCCAATTTTGCACCAGTATTCTCCAATTATGTCTCTAAAATGTAAAATCTCTAAAATGTAGACTTAAAATGTAGACTTAAAATTAGATATCTAGAAAGCTACTCTTTCTGTAGTTGATAAAAATAAAATACATAAATAAATAAATTAATTAATTAATTTAAGAGTTAAATAGATGGTTGGGCTCACGTCGCTAACCTGGTCACAGAGGGAATACCGGTGAGTCCTGGCTAACACTGCTAACTCCAAAACGAGCGTGACACTACCTGGATTCCAGCTGCTGCGGGCGACCAGGACAAGAGAGAGCGGTAAGCAGTAAGCGGTAAGCTCAAGGGTTGTCAAGTCCTGCGCAGATCAACTGTGTGGGATGATGGAGCGCATCTTCAACCTGAGCCGGAGGGTGGGGAGAGTCCCACAGCTCTGGAAAACCTCTTGTGTTGTACCAGTGCCAAAGATTCCACATCCCAAGGACCTCAACAGCTACAGGCCGGTGGCTCTGACATATCCAACTGATGAATTTTATTTTATTTGTTTTATTTATTTATTTACAAAGCACATTCAATAACAACAGAGAGTTGACCAAAGTGCTGTGCAAAGTAATAATTAAACAGTGACATTAACATCAACAACAGGTAAGAAAATTAGGATAAAAGAATTGGTAACTCTCATGCAGTATCGAAAGCCAAAGTGAAAAAAAAAATGTTTTAAAATGGGATTTAAAAAGAGTAACAGTTGGGGCCTTTCTCATGTGGAGAGGTAGATCGTTCCACATTTTCGGTGCCACAACCGCAGCCCCCTGATCCCCTCTATGAACCATCCTAGACTTGTGTAAGGTAAGGAGTAAATGATCACTTGATCAAAGGGCTCTAGTATAATGCTGCAAAAGGTCAGACAAATAGTCTGGCCACTTAGCTCTTTATAAGTCAAAAATTAAATTCTAAAATGCACTGGAAGCCAATGAAGGGAAACAAGCACCGGAGTAATATGTTGATGTCTCTTCACACAAGTCAAAAGGCGGGCTGCAGCATTTTGTACAAGTTGGATCATAAAAATGATCTCACCTTGGATAGGAGCCTTAATTTAAAAAAGGAGAACTGAACAACTAATTTAATTTGTTTCTCAAATGTAAGTTTGTTCATTGGCAGAAGACTACCGCTAGCTCCTTGTAACCAAGTGTCTTCTGCACAAACATCCTCCACTGCAACTACTAAACATCCAAGGAAAGTTTTAAGCCTTATGCTAATAGTAGAGATAGTGTCTCCCTCCCAAATCTAAAACTTTACAAGTTAACATGTTTTCATGTTAACTAGTTAACATATACAAAGTTAACAGAGAAAATGATTTTTAGGGCCAAGTACAATAGCCTCAGTTTTACCTGAATTTAGAAGAAGAAAATTAGAGTCCATCCAGGTCTTTATGTCTTTAACCCTTGTGTGGTGTTCATATTTTTGTTACTCAGCCAGTGTTCATGGGTCTGGTGGACCCGCTAGAGTTTTGGCTTTCCAAATTAACACTATCAAACAATTTTATGTTAAATTACTCAACAGATGTTTACTTCATCCCAATTACAA